TATATATATATATATGTATAAAAATATAAAAGCCTAGTCATCAGTTTAGAGTTCGCTATGAATATTAGCTGCAGAATTATTTTAGCTGCAGAATTATTGCTCCCACTCAGGCGCATGCAGCGATACCCGACAATCTTTCCTGAGAAAGATTTGATTTGTCCTACGCCGTGATAATGTTCTGCTGCAAAGCCCTTGTGTGGAATCGAGCTAACCACTATGAAGGTGCTTACCATTAATCCCAGCACTCACATAGGGCGCCACAAGGAGGACTGACAATGGAATTCAAGTTGCTGAACTTGACACAGCACTTTCGCCAACTTCTCCCGTGGCAAGAAGACCTTTGGTTACCCCTGAGGTGATGAAGGGAAGCAACTGACCGAATAGATGCCATCTAAAACTTTCAAGGACAAACAAAAGTGTTGAAAACCTATTTGGAAAGTTCAAGATGGGCCAAATGCCTACTTTGGGTTTTGGAACTAAAAAAGGGTATGATTAAGTACACTGAAACCTTATGGCTGGGGGATCTGAAAGTATAACCCTCTGGGATAACTATCCCTAAAAGGCTGAAAGGAGGTCTATCAAATGTTAGTAAAACAAAGGGAGACACGCAAAGTGAAAAAACAAGGTAGAGGATGGAGGTGAAACTCTATTGCGCCAGTTAGGTCATAAAACAGGATTGTTTAACCTGTAAAATACATTTCTTTAAATACATTACAAGACATAGAGAGCTAACTCTTCGACAGATGGGTTATGCAGCTAACTTCAAGTGAATGGACACTGGCAAACCTGCAAGGCAGCCCTGTATAACCCCTCCCACTTCCGGCCTGCCTCATTTTGTAAATAGCAGTACAAGAGTGGATCACAGAAATAAGAGGGGAGGGTTCTGTGTCCTGTGATGCATTTCCAGGTAAGAAATATCCTGTTTCCTCACAGAATACAGGGAGTTGACTCATCAACAGATGGGATGTCCAAAAGCAGTCCAACAGAGGGGCAGGCAACACACAAAACAATGGCTAACTGGTTTGTGAAAACAACTAACCCCAACTTGGAACTATAACAGAAGGGACCCACAGAACCTTGAGGCCGAAGTTTGAAATCTGCAGAGGCTTGAACATCCACATGGTAAAACATGGCAAGTGTGAACAAAGGAAAAAGGGACAAACCTTGTAGATTTGGCAAATTGAAGTTGGATGCTGGAAGGCCCAAGAAGTACTAAATCCTCCTAGTAAAGTGAGACCTACCTGGAAAAAGTGGAGATTTAACTGTATACACCTAGAGATAATGGCGTGAGAAGCCAGCTTTCGCAGATGGGGACCCTCAAGAATGATGAAGAAGAGGGAGTTAGATATGCAAATAGAAGTTGTCGCAGAAAGGTAAAATCGAACACCTCGAACTATGTCCAATGGAGAGAAATATCTTTCATATGTATTGGGGCAGGACTTAAGGATGATAAAAACTATATCCTAGTTAAGGTGGAAGGCAGAAACCACCTTGGGAACAAAGGAGGCCATAGGCCTCAGTAGTATCTTACCCTTGTTTTGTAACCAGAAAGGGCTCTTTACTAGTCAAGGCCACCAATTTAGAAACAAGCCCTGGAGAAGTGATGACAACGAGGAAGGCAACCTTGTGAGCAAGTAGAGTCACAGGAATATCTGAGAGGTTCAAATGGCAGCTTCTGTAGTAGTTCAAAAGAGCACCATAGACTCCCTGCTCCATCCCAGCTTCGGCTGCAATTAGTCCATACCCATGTGTGCAGGCTGCCCTCTACTCCTCACTTGCTCAAACCAATCTCCAAAAGATCAGCCGCACAGAAACCAGGGTAAATGTAATCCAAATTTTATTTTTTAAATATTCAATTTTTATTAATTTTATGGAAATCAAAAAATAAAATAATTTTGACACACTGTATTACATGATTATACGTCCAGGTACATCTTGATCAATTTGCTTTTTATTTAGGTTTCAACATAAATACAGAACTATAGAACAAAACAAAACAAACAACAACAATCTTAATGAGTTAAACATTATTATTTTCACAGCATTTCCTTTTCATTTCTATTGTAAAACTATTTACCCATGTACCTTCTATCTATCAACCCATTAAATTGTAGCCAAAAAAAATAAAAAATAGGAAGAGAAAAAGATAATGAGAGGAGAAAAAAAAGGGGGGGGGGCAACCCACCACTCCTTGTGGGGAAAAAAAAATATAAGGGTAATCCGGCAACCCTTTCAAGATTCTTCGTTATAATATTGTACTAGAACATATCAAAACAACCTTGTAGATTATCCCAACCCATAAGACCATCTCCGTTAATCAACCATTTATATTGCTATATTTGCCTTCTATCCTATATCCTCTGTGTATCCGGGGGAATTTTTAAAATCGTTCCATTGTTGCCAAGTACTTTCAAATTGTTTAAAAGTATCCCTCCGTATTGATGTAATTTTTTCCATCAGTCGGTAATATTCTATGATACAAAAGTGAATAATGTGAAACCTCGCGCCACTACTCTAATCAAGTTAAGCAGCAGCTGAAATCTGTGTGGTCAGATATAACGTATGAAATTAATAGTAAAAGCCGTGCTGTGTGAATGAGACCGCAAAAGTGTCAGATATAGTAGATACTGACCTTGGAGTAATGTGATACAATGTGTAAAAAGTGCAAAACAAAGAAGAAACGCATGTATATAACATGCACCTTAGTGTAAATGTAATTGCTACAAAATATCCATAATGAAAAATCAAATGCACTAAATATTAACTGTGAATCAATGTGATGCAATGTGCAAAGAATACCAACTAGAAAAACGCATGTTTGTAACTTGCACTACAGTGAAAATAATGAATAGTAAAAAAAAGGTCCATGATCCTGGATCTTCAATAGTCCATTAAGTAAATAGAAGATAAAACATTGGATGTAGAATAGACTTAGTCTCCTGTGACCATCAACAGAGAAATCTTCTGGAATGCACCTCACCTTTAGCGCTGTTCCTCTAATTCGAACCAGGTAGAGGAAGCACCTGATGCCGAATACCTCCCAGTAAATACCTCCACTCAGGTACAGACTATCTTGCAGTCTCAGGAATTGGAAGCAGACAGTTCATCCGAATGGCCCATGCATCAGATAAAATAAAAAGTGGAGACTCGTAGTGCAGATGGTTTTAAAAGGATACTAGACTTTATTAAAAAAAGGATACTACTCACATATCATAGATAAAAGTGAGGTATTTGGTAAGCAGCCACATACACTGTGTGCAAATCGCTCAGCTCCTCTACTCCACCCTACGTACGTTACGTCAAAGGGCGTGACTTCATCAGGGGTGTGGAGAAAGGAGCTTAACCGAGCGCATATATTAAGACCAGTTGTAAGCTAATTGTAAGCCTGCAAACGGGAGGCCCTCCACAGTTTGAATAAAGTGTTTAGTGTCTCGTAGATATGCCTCATTTCTCTGGATGAGTGGTTGCAGGAAAAAAATCAACATATGCCCCTAATCTGTTAGTGACAGACCCTATACCATTTACTATTGGCCTGCCAGGGGGATGATGTAAATTCTTGTGGATCTTTGGTAAATAATAGATGATTGGAATCCTACACTCCAATGGTGCTAAATCCTCCTACAAAAGATACCCACAACATTAGAGATTTTATATCATGTGACACAGAAGGGTCATATATGGGTTACAGTGCCCCTGTGGCCTACAATATATTGGTCGAACCACCTGCAAGTTAGCCATTCGTGTAAGAATAATTAGAGGAACAGCGCTAAAGGTGAGGTGCATTCCAGAAGATTTCTCTGTTGATGGTCACAGGAGACTAAGTCTATTCTACATCCAATGTTTTATCTTCTATTTACTTAATGGACTATTGAAGATCCAGGATCAGGGGCCTTTTTTTTTACTATTCATTATTTTCACTGTAGTTTTTCTAGTTGGTATTCTTTGCACATTGCATCACATTGATTCACAGTTAATATTTAGTGCATTTGATTTTTCATTATGGATATTTTGTAGCAATTACATTTACACTAAGGTGCATGTTATATACATGCGTTTCTTCTTTGTTTTGCACTTTTTACACATTGTATCACATTACTCCAAGGTCAGTATCTACTATATCTGACACTTTTGCGGTCTCATTCACACAGTGCGGCTTTTACTATTAATTTCAATATTCTATTCTATTATACCACTCTTTCATAGTTGGGGTAGTATTTTAATTCCAATGTAGTGGTATCAGCATTTTGGCAGCGTTAAGTAAAGGACGCAACAGCGATATTTTATAGACCGAAGTCGGCAAGTCCATAAGATGAAAGAGGCATGCCATCGGGTCCAAGGGTAATGCAATTGTTGTAATCTCTCCAATCACTTCCACCACCCGGGACCAGAAGGGCTGAAGTTTGGGACAGGACCACCACATATGAACATAAGTTCCAATATTACCACAATTCCTCCAACATAAACTCCGTCTTAGATGGATACATTTTATGTATACGTACAGGTGTGTAATACCATCGTGCTAAAAAACTAAACATTGTGTCAAGTCACTAGGGCACTTAGAGACGAGAATGTATTAAGACTTAAGATTCTTTGTTTCTGTGAATCCGTCCAGGTAGTCTCCAGTTCCTGCTCCCACTGTTTCAAATA